ACATGAAATTATTTACTATCCTTACACTCTTAGACTGTCTCATTCGGAATCTAAAATTGATATCCTAGTTCTGTAATCAACTGAGTCATAACAACAATGTAACAAATCCATGCCAAAATGATATTGAAATCTATTATTTATTACTCTACAAGGTTTGCTGAAGTGACTTTCTCAAAAATAGTGATAATGCAATTTCTGTATGCCCATCTACCTATAACTGGGTCACAACCTATAATAGAGACTCTAAGAATTCTGAGATAGTTTTGGGATTGACAAAAATGTTTAATTCTATATAAGGAGTGAAAAAAAGAAAGTGTAGCCCATGGATGTAACATTGCATAAAAATTCTAAATGGATGACTTGCAACAAACCATTGACTACATTAGGATAATATTCTTTTTCCTCGCAAGCTTGAAGAGCATAAAATGTTATACGACACTGACCACCATCTCAACTAGATGAAGCACCTAGCTGACTAGGGCGACGAGTTGAAGCTGCTGAAGTTTTAGATAGATACATGTTACCTTTTGTATTTTACTTGAAGAGGATCAATGCTTAAACCTATGACCTGACTAACCACACCCAAAGAACCCTTGTATGCCTACATGATTCTCTCTTGGATGATTCTTACAACACTTTTAACAAGTTGGGAATTTTGGTTGTGAAGCATTCTATTGTGACTTAGAGTCTAACGCTCTCCCTTCCCCCTTTCTGATCATGTTGAAACATGGGGGACGAAGCGCTAGCTTATTAAATGAGTTGGTTTTGTAGACCTCTACTGAAACATTGAGCGATTTCTACTACGTGGAATCTTCTGAGAGTACTCATAGTTATCCATCCTAGTCTTATTTGTATCCTTGTACATTTTCCTACGCGTATCTCTCTCAACCTCCTGAGAATGAATCATTAGTTTGGATATATTCATATCTGTAAATAACATGGCCTTTCCGCACTCAGTATTCACCAGATCGGATACTTCAAACAAGAACCTACTCATTTGCACTTTAAATCGTTAACCATATGTGGAGCATACCTGGAGAGTTGCTTGAACTTCAGCTTGTATTGTTGGACTACAATAGAAACCTACTTCATGTTTATGACTAATTAGTACTTAGCCTCCCTAAATACTCTCGAGAATAACCTATCCGAAAAAACTCAAGCAAAGTAGTTTTATGTCATAGGAGCTGCATCCGCACCCTAGTTGTCTTTCCATTATGTGAAAAAAATATGACCACATCCTTAAAATGGTAGGATACCAAGTCCACCTTATCAGTACTATCACTTACATTACAAAAAGAATCTTCTTGACCTCATTAATGAAGTTATGTGGTTCCTCACCTACCTGCAACCCTAGAACTTAGGAGGATTCATAAGCATAAAATCTTGAACCATGGTTATAGCTAATCGACCTTCAAGATTTGCCTAAACTAATGTATGTTGATTGTTTTAGTTGGATATGTTTGAGACAAAAGCTAGGTTGCATTCTAGAATTTTGCATTTGTAACCTCATGTTTCAGGACTGGAGGAAATGTGTTAGCATTTTATGTATTAGTTCTACAAGGAGGAATGATATAAAATGCATAACAATGGATTACAAAGGAGATGTTGAATTACACATTGTGAACAATAAAAATAACAAAATAAGAGAAAATTCTTAGAAAACCTAGTAACCTCTCCGTTATAGGTGTTGTGCGCTACACACCCATGCAAGAAGTAGTGCCTAGTGCGTATCTCAGACACCCTAAGACTGTTGAACTGATTCTCTCATATGAAGTTTTTCACATCCCACGGCTACCCCATAAACGTATCACGATACCTATGATTATGAGTGACCCCAAGCTAACCTTGAACCTGGCAGATAAACGGCATACTAAAAAAAATAACTAAGTAAATCATGTACTATGCGGAAGCTAAAAGAAGTGGATATTTTGAATGTAGAAAACCCAATTCGTCTAACTATTTGATATATAATAACATATTTGTTATTACCAAATAACACTTAACAACTTGAGTTGAAACTAATATATTCTCTAAAAAGCGTCAAAAAGAATTGAGTTTCAAGGACATGCCCCTAGCTAACTCTATCAAGACTGAAAACTGAAATAAAGACTTAAAAGTAAAAAGTGTGTATTGTCCTCTATGAATGAGAAATCACACTAAATTTGATGAATTCAAATTGGGAGTTGGACTTAGAGTGATATGGATGCTTAATTTCTAAACCTATATCATAAAACAATGTAGTACAAAGTATGTGTCAGCACTTTGAATGAACAGAGCATGTAGGATGTATTTATTTATAAGCTAAACAAAGTAATAAATTGTTTTGAAGCAAAATTAACTAAACTGGATGGAACGAACCAGTACTAATCATGAAGCTAATAGGCTAAATGTATAGTGATGTAAATGCTAAAAATATGTAAATGCAATAACATTCTGACTGTGGGAGGTTCGGTTAACCAACATAAACCATGTGAGCCCTTTTTAGGGGTATAAGGTTGACTATGGTGTGGTCACTTAAACGAATGCCGAACAAATAGGACTTATGAACCTATGTAGGCATGTTGTTTTAGGACATAAGGGTACTTGAACTTTAATCAAACTTAGTTCTAAGTCGATTCCAAGATGAATACGAGAAGCTTAAATGGAGTAAAATAATGAGTATCTCAAAGAACTAATATGCTAAGTAAGAATGCAACATATATATACTGAAGATTTGCATTTCAAACTTTGAGGAAAGATTTAGTCGTATTTTCCTTCCATGTATGATTCGTGATATTTTATAAATTTACACAACCTAGGGTTCTTGGTTCTATTCATGTGACTATACTAATTCACGAACAAATCTTTAAAATCTAGCAACCATAGGTGTGAAAAAGAACTAACTTAATTTAAGGGACCTTATAAGTCAAAGAAACCAAAAAGTAAAATAGAACATAAATGCTGATGAAAACTAAACATAAATTCTTTGGATTTCGGGGATGAACTTGAGGAAAACCTCTACTTGTTCTTTGGAGAAATTATCGCCTCTTTGTAAGCTTTTCTTTTTAAGTTTGATGATATTAGGAAAATTAGGGTCCTAGGTTATTTCTAACTCGATTATAAGGCTTAGAGTGACTAAACAAATGTAATTTAGGCATAAAATAACATAGTTTAACTGCATAACATATAGGGGAAAAGAAAAAAATACCATGACTTAAAAAATTATAGTCCTCTTTCACAGGCCCATTCATGGACTTTATGAAGCACCACGAGTCGTATGGGAAACCGTGGTTTCTCATAGAATTCGGGGTGTTTCAGGGTCATTTTTTAGAGGCCACTTAACGGACCGTGTGGGGTTTAACGCACAGTCTAGTAGTCTGTGGTCCCTCACAAGTCATTGAGTGGTTTTATTTGTTTTCAATGCCAACTTGGAAACGTCTTGAGTTCCATGGACCTTATAGTGTTCCTGTTCCTCCATCTTGTTATTGGGTGTGAGACACAATGAGGGTGACACATCATGGTCTTATTCATGGCATATGTCCTATTATGGGGTCCAACATTTTCCTCTTGTTCAGTCTAAGGTGTTATAGTTTAGTGAAGTTTATTATGATTTCTACATTTCATTAGGGCGATATACTTTATTCTTTCTATAATTCTATTTGTTATCGTTATCTCTGGGTTTTAGGTTTTCTTGTCTTGGTGGGACAAAAAGAATGATATCAAGCACATTTTTCCGTTTGCGACAATGTTTCAAACTATGTAGGAATGCATATCGAATATTTCGTATTATCATTTTTGTAATTCATGGTAGGGAGACATATGAAATGACATCATATAGGTTATAACCTCATTTAATGAAGTTGTGATTTTCAATTGGCCTTGTTCATTATGCTATGTGGTTGTTAATGAATGTTTGTATTTACTTGTTGGCTTGGGTACAACGCTGGTAGACTAACAATAAATGAATCGTATTGGTAAACTAATTATGCGTGCTCAAGTACCATGTCGGCACACTAACAACCAGAGTTTGGTTTCTTTGAGAGTTTCATGTATGTGATTTGTAGTTCGTTGAGAGGACCCAATATTTTCATTGTGATCATGTGAGAAAGATGTACTGATACATTATTTGACCCAAGTGATGTTGTTTCAAGACATGTGACTCAAAGTCTGTGTGGTTGATAATTGTTGTTATGTTATACATTGTTCTATGTTACTATATTGTACTGACCGTTTACATCCATATATTTGTGTCTCCATGTGATCCTACTAGTACTCTATGGTTTGTGTAGTGGTATCCATGTTCTTTTTCATGTTGAGTAAAAGACCTCTTCCAACGGTTATTTCGAGACCTCTGTTGAGAGATATCTAATTTCTAGTCCAAGGGCGAGCTCCATCTTTCAGGATACCATGGATCCTTCTAAATCTTCTTATCCATTTATTCAGGCATAGGCTTATATGTTTTAGTTGATGTTCAGTTTGGAGGTTGCGTCTCAAGTTCAACTATTTAGAGTTTTGGTATGATGATTTTAAGTTATGGGGTAATTTTTGCGTCACTATTGTTTTAATTATCTAATTTAGTTTATATGGATTTAATTCTTTAGTAACTTAATGGTTTTCAATATTTTCTTGCAAAGAGTTGGTTTTATTTATACAGTGTGGTTAGTCCGGGTTTGTCTTTAATTCTCCCACAAGGTTGATTAGTGTTGGTGCCACTCACGGCGGTTTGAGTCGGGAGAATATCATCCTCGTTAGGATGATATAATTTCATTTCAACATAGTTACAAAATTAACTTGATTTATCCATCTAAAATTAAAAAATACATTTAATATTTGCTACTAAAATTTATTTTATCATACATTATAAGAGGATAATAAATTAATACGACATGGTATGCCAATTAAAAAATCTATAAAGAGAAATAATTTGTTTCTAGGGAATAAAGTTATAGTTTTAATGACTTGATAGGAAAAACAATTAAAATAATTTTAGTGAAAAAAACATTCAAAATGAAGAATACATGAATTTGCCTTTAATGCTACCAACCAAAAAAGTGTTCAAAGAAAAAAAAAGCAATGACACTAAGTATATATATAGGCAGTTTCTTTTTACCCTAACTTTGCCTTCTCCGCCTTTTGTGTTCTTTCTATCATAACAAGATTCTTAATCCAGTTAATCGGCCACAACAAAATTTGAGGTTTACACTTATGCCTTGTTAATTTCATTGATCTATCTGTGTATATATATATATATCTTCTTTTATAAAATTATCTAGGATCTTTTTGTTTTTTCTTTTTCTTTGATGTTATTAATATTCTCTTATAATTTTACCTATTCATGTTCTAGTACATCTAGGGAGAATGAGAGAAGCTCGATTATTTTGAGTTTGACCAAATTTTAAAAGAAATAATTATTGATATGGTGGGAATTAATTTTACTTGTTATAGATCTAAAGGTAGTAGCCACTCTTAACAATTTTCTTGGACTGAGAAGTTTTTTAAATTGATTTTCTCCAAATTTCTTAATTTGGTTTAAAATAAATTCAAATATAAGATAATTTTTTTGATCACTAATCTAATGAATCTTGAAAGATGCATGATTACAATAGATCGAATTTCAATTTTTTTATGGATCTAAGCTTTACATATCTTTTCTCTCTTTATACCTACAATATATTTTTATTTTAAGAATGAAAGTACTAATAAAAGTGATTTTATCATCTTAGGTTTTACCATTAAAAGAGAAATAATTCTTTTTATGGGTAAAAATTAATTTAAAATGTTATAGATCTAGAGGTTGTGGGCGCCTTTAAAAAAATTTCTTAAAAATAATGACTTTAAAAATTGATTTTTTTTTCAACTTTTATAACTTTTTCAAAAGAAAGTTTGATTAAGTCTAGTTTTTTAATCATACAACCAATGTACTTGGTAAATCGTTTGAGCTTCATCACCACAACAGTAACTATTCTTGTTCTTGAATCTATAAATTGATGGACAAACATCTTTTATTTGGACTTTTTATGTGTATATATTCTAGCACTTTGATTAAGTTCTTATGATTTTACTTGACACATAAATATCATTACTAGCAAGCTTGATGTTTTTATATATATATTTTTTAAAAAACTTTTCTATATCCATCTTACAAAAGATCTTTTTACTTGGTTTTTATTTTCTACCAGGATATGAATAACCAACACCAAATTTGTGTGGACGAAGATGCTATGTTAATGGATGATTTACAGGTATGCTTTTGAAAAAAAAATACTTATAAGGTGCTTAATTTTTCCTTATAAGCAATATACAATATTTTTTGATAGATAACGGAACAACATTTTTATGATAATTGTGTTATGAAAGAAAAATAATGTTCGTCTCTAGAGATAAAACAATTTAATCATTTCATGACAATAATATATAAATACTCATACAAATTAAAAGATGTTAAATATTTGATGTTAAGTTTTGTTGTTGATTGTACTAATTGATAGTGCTAAGTAATAGATGATGGTACTTGTGGGGTATTGGTTGTAATAGTTGGGAATGGTGAACCATGATGATGATGATTGATAGAGATGGAGTATGCAAATGAATTGAATTAATGAACTATAATATTTCAGAAACCTTTGAATTGACAAGTTAATTATATGAGTTTTTTTTTACCTAATCATTTATAACTATCAAGACTCAATAGATGGTTGCATCATAAAAAAAAATTAGTTAATGACTTAGGTTCAAAACTAAAAACATAGAGATTTAATAGTTTATATATGAATGATTAATGTTATATCATTAGCTACACACATGTACATATTTTTATGTGTAGTGCAATATCATTAGTTAAATATGAATTATGTCAAAAATGATAAGTCTTCATAGACAACCTTTTTCTTATATACTTAATGCCTTGATTTTTCATAGTCTCAAGCTATGACATGACCAAACTATCTCAAATGATAACAACCATCATTGATCTAGTTACATAATATATGTTATCGATGAATACACATTTTTTAACCCTTTCTTTTTTTATTTTATTTTTGTGACACTTTGATCACGTTCTTAAAATATTACTTGAAACATAGAAAGCGAATAGTTCACATCTTTTTTTAGAACCTTCTGCATCATTTCATACAAGTTTTAAAAGTACAAAAGTTTTAACTAACTTTTTTATATTTGCAACATGGATATGGATAAGCAGGATAAAGTTGGTGGTCAAGATGCAACGTTGATGGAAGTTCCCATACCTTTACTTGAATCACAAGAAACAAAAACTGATGTTGTTGAGGTAAGTTTTAGAAATCCAATTACAAGGTGTTAGTTTTCGTCCTTTTCTGATATGCACAAAATATTTTGATGGAATCTACACTAAATAAGGTATCCCTTTTCCTTAGGATTACTAGGTAGATTAGGAATTGTAGTCAAAGCAGGAGACGAGGTATATATTCCAATAGGATGAAACTATTTATCACTAATTTAGTAAGCTTAAGACTTGCATAACCACGACCATCATGTATCTTCTTAAAACGTGCATAAGATTGATCAACATTCATTTTTTTAATTTTATATATGAGGTATTCTATCTCTTAGATTATCTTCTTAAGTGTTACTTGATATATCCACACAAACGTGTTGCAAGTGAGCAATTTTTATCTCTTTTAGAAAACCATGCATTATTTCACACAACTTTTTGTTTTTCTAAATATTTAACAATTTTTTCTTATTGTCTTTTAGAATATGGATAAGCAACAAAAATATGGTGATGATAAGGATGCAATATTAATTGAAGTTCCAACATATTTTATGACACATGATGAATCAATAACCGATGTTTTAGAGGTATGATTTTTAAGAGTTTCTCCAATTATAAAGTTTTAGTTTATTTTCTTACAAGTCATTTAAAAATATATTTTTATTGATTCTTGAGTAACTTTTAATGCGAATAGGGTGATAAAATAAAGAACAATATTCTTCTCTATATCTAAAACATATGACTTGTATTCAAACAACATTTTTCATCTATGTCATACATCTAATAATAATTTAAATATGTACTCTTTCCGTTTAAATTTATATGATTTAGTTTCGCTAAAAACAATTATGGAAAGTCTTTGATATTTAGGTTCCAAAATCATCCTTAGAAAAATGAAGGTTTATACATAATAGTACCTTTATGAATATTTTGCCAAATAAGGTAGAACCAACACGGTAAATGGTAAATAGTCTAATTAAACATTTTCAAATAAAACACATGTTATATTTTAAAACTGATACAACGAAGTGTTCCATATAAAATGCAACACATGGAAATTGATTCTTTGATGCTCAATTTTTGTTTTTAGCTTTAGATCATGACAGACGACAGTAGCCTACAGTTTGAGTGTCTACGAATCGAAACTATTATAGTAACCCAACCAAGGGTTAGGGTCGTGTCCCAAGGGAGTAGTAGTGAAGGTAGTAGCTACATAGAATTCCGTTCTATATAGTCATAGTTTAAGACATTTTCAAATATTAACACAATTAATTTGTGACACCAAATTGTCAATTATTGAAAGGGGTTTTGTCACAAGTAGTATAATAGAAAAAATATAAAGGAAATCAAGTAAGGTCGAGAGTTCTTGGTGTGATCTCTGTATATGAAGATAAAAGTGGTGGATATATGATTTCTGTAGCTAATTTGGCAGGACAATGGTGACTAGGCTAAGCTTCAGGTGAATGCAAGTTCCTTCTTAAGAAACTTACCCCATATCAAATGGTTTCCTCTTGGACACCCACTCGTCTAAACTATCTAGTCTATGTCTTATCCAAACTCGCTCTTTCAATAAGGGTGCTTGGGTATGGAACTAAGGCTCACCCTCTGGCGCATATCGACCCACTCCTTCAGAGATCAATCTAGTGGTCTTAGTTTCACTACTTCTTCCTCGAGAAAGCCAAAAGACATTGGTTAGTTTTGTTTTTGAAGCTATAAACCCCTAATTGCTAAATCACACCCCAAGAATAGGAGGTTATTAGCCACATATCAAGAAATAATCAAATATGCTCAAAATGATAATGAAATCAAGTGGGTATTAGAGATTACACCTTAAAAGTAGCAAAGGTAGGCAAATGGAGAAGACCCACTTCCAAAATTAGAAGATGAACTTCTTTAGGCAAGCTTCCACAAAGCCCTCTCCAAATTTAGAGAGAACTTATGAAAAAAATTCTAAAATAAAATATCAAGTGTAAAATTGTTTCTCTCTAATTTACTAAATAATAAAAGTGGTCAATATTTATAGACTTCAGAATTGTACTGGAAAATCTTTTCGGAGCAATTAGTCATTATTCGCTGAATCGCCCTTTTTTGAGTTCATCGCCATTTGCACGATGCCTTCCTTATCTATGTGTTCTGGATTGATCGGCGGTAATATTCTGCTTCATGGAACTGATCAACGAAGATTTGGCTGATTATTTTTGTCACCTTTTGATCCACTTCCTTCAGGCTCACTTGCTCTGATAGAAGGAAAAAACTTTTCTATTTGGCAGATCGCCCTGTGTGCTTGGCGATGCACACCTTTGTATTTTCAGCTCTTTTTGTCCGTTTTTTTCCTTTTTAAGCCTAAGTGTCTATGCTCCTACCAAATCCACAAATACCTAAAACTTAGGAGTTTTTTTATCATGAATTGAGGTAAAATAAATAATCAAGGACCTTATATGCATTAAATAAGACCATAGATAAGTCCAATTTGAGGACTCATGAACACCCCAAACTTAATCTTTTGCTTGTCTTCAGATAAAATTAAGTTCATCTGTTTAAGTAAGATATCTCAAATAGTGCTACACAAAACGCAATCGTTAATACGCACAACAAGACTTAAATTACTCATGTATACCTCGGTGTATATTCAAAGATAGAAGTTGTGACACACCATTACCAAATATTCTCGAGCTCACAGTATTGTCTTCTAATAAAAGTTCATGCTCAACAAAAGTATCTACATGACCTTAGACAAAGAATGATTCCATTTTCATACATGTAGATTTTTCAACTTAAGGTCATGAATCTGATGCAATACTCACACTCACAAAGAGGGGGTACAATGCATGTTTTTACCCATAGGTTTTGCCCTTATTTTTCCAATTGACTTTCGTTTCGTTCAATCAAGATAAAAAATGTCTTTCTAAGAAATTTAATGGGGGCTGAGTACAAAGTTATGGTCATTTAGGCTCAGTGGATTTTTTCTCAATGAGATGTGAATTTCTCAACACATCTTCTTTGTTAATTGATAAATCCTTAGTCAAGTGCCTTTAAGTCATTGTTTCATTCTTCTCCATGGATTGCTTGGAAATCTGAATTCTTTTTGTGCTTTTATTCCACAACCTTCTTATTCATTCTTCTCTTTTTGTTTCCTTCTTTCATGTATGAAGGGTTTCAATTTCTACGTAATATCATGGGTTTGTGAGACTTTTCCTGCACTTCTTGACTTCTCCTTTCCCTTCTTATCACACGCCCAACTTAGGCTTTGGCCTATGTTGGTTATTCACTTATATCACATATCAAGTGGATTATACGTGATGGATACCATAAGGTCTTGGTGTCATAATTTTTTTCCAAAGAAGAGGTAAGGCTCAAAGGGTGTTCAACTGAGTTTCACATGCTCACGGTGTACGCCACAAAAGAGGTATATTTCAAAATTGTCTTAGACTGTTTGATTAGAGCCTAAAATCATCTCAAGAGGACACCTTTTTTAAATCAATCAGACTAACTAATCGGGAAAATTCTACGTTTATTCATACAGTAAGATCATCACACAAAACATTGACACTTAGGTAAAATAAGACAACAATTTTTTGCTGGTGTACAATGGTCGTTGCAAAAGAATCAATTTAATAATTGGTTAATGACTGCGAGATGCTAAGAGTTCACATACTGGCTATGTAACTTCATTCATTTTTGTTGTATCCGCACATTCATGTTTGTTCGATTGAGAGCACCTTTTAAGTTATCAGTATGATTTAAACCAAGACTTAAATTTGTACAAAAACAACCACTTTCATCACAAGAAGGGGCAAATTTTCGAAAGTAAAATTTTAGGAAGGGTCAAAATTATTTTGAAATTAAGACCCCAAAAAGCGAGCCAAAATCTCAACAATCCACAAAAAAAAAAAGATTTTAAAACACAATTTGAAAAAGACAACCCATTTCAAAACATGCCAAAATTCAGCTTAACAAAACAAGGTGGGCCTCACCCTACTACAATTAAAAGAATTTGTCCTCAAGTGCAGTTCATATGATACACAAAAGTTAATTCAAAGTTATATGTAAGAGAGAGTAAGGAATGAAATCCTGTTCAAGTTGTTTTTCTGTGTGTTGGTGTGTTTCCCCCTATTGAAGATAGCAGGGTGTTTACTCCTGAAAGAAACTAGTACTGCTGTCCCCATCAAGATTTGTTCTATCTCATTGGTTCCTTGTCAGCAGTATCAGGTGTGTCCTCAGTGATGTAGCTTTTTGTCAGAGTCCATGTTCATTTTTAGTCACTCGCCGAGACATAAGGATGGACTTCACCTACTCTATTTACGTTTTCATTATCGTGATCACATCCTTTTATGTTGCATCTTATCAATGGTTCTTTAGTTACGTTTGCACACACCCATTCTTGCCTTAAGTTCATCAATAGTTGCTTTTACTGGTATAACAACAATAGTCAGAACAATCTCAATCATTCCTAAAATAGAGGTTTTTAGGGAAACTAGATACAGAGTCTGAGCAAGTTCTATTATTCTGTAAAACATAGCTTGTGTGACGTAAACCTCACGTGTGATGATAGCGGTAAGTTTATTTCTAATCATAGTAAGAACTTTCCACGTTTTATTAGTTGTATGGTCTTTTGAAACCGTTCCCTTTAACCTGTTCTCCTATAGATCCTTAAGGTATTCTGCTTCAATTCTTCTAATGTCGGTGAATGATGTAGGAGTGATTAACATATTCCTTTGAGCTTCTTTAGGTACTTGAGCTGTTTGCACAAATTAGTGATCAATACTGGGAAAGAAATTGATGTTTTGCATCATTTTAAGATCATGAGGATCTCAAAATTTATGATCTCCCCCAAATTTAATTGAATTCTGTCAATAAAGCATCCTAGGCATGCGCTCCTTCCAGGCTGTATGATAGATTCATTTTGTGAAGGCATGATTGAGCTACTGATAAAACCAAAACCAATATCGAGCTACTACATTTAGTGTTTTTTTTCAATTGTTGTGCCAACCCTTAATCAATTTAGGGTATCATATGAAATTAGGGGAGCTAACCAATCTTTCATGTTATCCAGTGAAATTTCTTTGGATAGGTGTTTGCATGCTTCCTCCATGTGTTTAGGACGACCTAAGATAACATTAATACTGTCAGGATCATACTGGATAGCCTTCCCCCGCACTAATACAGAATTGATTGGCTTAACTATTGCTACATGTTTCATTCCCAATTGCATAAGAGATTTGTATGATGTGTAACACTCCCGAACAAGACTTGGAATGTATGAGCCACGCGGCTTAGTGAAATCGTGGAAGTGATGACACTTTTGTGTGCTCATAATTTCAGGATATATATCAATCACCCTATCTATGGATAAGATTTTTTCTTGAAGAATAATTTTGAACCCATCATCCTTTGTCCTATTTAATGATTTTGGTTGGGGAATCGGGATATCTTTGCCATTTCTACTTGATGTAAGTATCTTCATTTAGGCTCTCTCTGTGCATATCCGTGTATTTTATGTACCCCAGTTGCTTTTCCCTTGAGGAGGTGTTAGTTTTTCTATAACTTTAGATCTGGTATACCTGCAATCATAATAAGATTCAGATGTTGTTAGAAGAATTCAATTGGGGTTTGGTTGATATGTAAACAAAATCTGTTTGGGAAAATATATATAATATTCAGCGACTCAAACTCTCTATGCCGACTGTTAAACGCATTCTTTGTGCAGACTTGGGCCATTTATGACTCAATCAATTTTAATGACCACCGAGTGTCTCGGTGGGCCATATCTTGCTCGCTAGACTAGTTGATGTTCTATTTGTAATTCTAGTTTCCATAAATCGACCTTGTAACCCTTCAAGGAGATTTTACAAAATTCTCTACTCAACTGCTAGTTGTGCCCACATAACTGTTGCCTAGAATATTCAAATTTGTATAATTCCCATATCAGAGAGTTTTGCATACCTTACTTGGGAAAAACATATCTCGAGATAGAAAATATCATAATTGAAGGTGGGTCATGTAGAACAAATCTTTGCTACTGATCTGATGAAATTTTAGGCGATAAGCGGCAGATAGATCTAGATTCAAGCAATAATAACTCAACTTCAAATACTTATGAGATATCACAGTTTTGTAAAGACGAAAATCCAGAATTGTAGTAATGTAAAAATTGTGGAGAATTAAAGGCAGTGATTTTATACAACTTTTTCATATCTGATTCCGTTGGTGACGTAAGTTGAAACTCTACTTAGCTAAATGGTGATATGCCAAGCGATTTTCTTTTTCGCTGAGTCTTACAAAACCTCCAACTTATTTGTAGAGTTAAAAAGCGGATTTATCTCAATTAACAATCAAGTTGGCTCTTTGCCAACATAATTTGTGTGCCACAAACCATTTCCTTCAGAAGCCCTCAACTTATGAATATACTAAATCAAAACACCCTATATTTAAATAAGATATTTAAAATGCTTACAGGGTTTTGGGTTGCCTCCCAAACAATGCCTTAGTTAACGTTACGGCACGACGCTAGACAAACTTTATTCTTCTTCTTCGAGTTCAACCATGGTGTAGTTAGGCGAGCCTCTCGCGAATGGTGGATGATGACATGGTATCAAATCAATAATTTTATCATCTTGATATTGAATGATTATAGTTTTTGGGTTGTTGTATCATACAACATTTATATGTTATTTTTCAGCTTATTCACCATTTTATCTTGTGTTTCTATCTCCTTCAGTCGCTTGGATAGATTGTCTACTTAAGCTATAAGTGAATCCCACTCGTAGTTTTCTTCATTTCCTTTATAAGTTATAGGTATATTATCAAGGGTTTGGGCTACCACTTCGTAGGGGTGAAGGAGTATACCTCCCGGTAAGAGTTGATCGATGATACTTGCAGTTTCGGTACTAATACCTCTGTATAAGCATTCTAGTAAAACCTTGTTTGTCATCCCCTGAAATGGGCATGGTTCTAATACTTTTTCAAACTACAACCACATTTCCTCAAGAGTCTCATCCTCTACATGCTTAAAGGTATGAGGTATTCCCTGAGGTTTAACACATTCAAGAGGGGATGGTCTGTGTGAAGTCTGCAGTTGTTTTCCATTCTTGTTACTCTGCATAAATACACAATCACACAAAACAATGAACCACAAAATTAAAAATTTTTTAGTAAAAGCTACGTTACAAAGAACTAAAAACTATAAGTATCTACATTTTTAAGTGACAACTCTCCCTGGCAATGGCTCCATTTTTATTCTTTGATGCTTTGTTTTTATTTTTAATTTTAGCTCGTGATCAACGACACTAGTGTATAGTCTCAGTTTCTACGAATTGAAGCTAGTATATTAACCCAACCAAGGGTTGGGGTCGTGTCCCATGGAGTTGTAGTGAAGGTAGTAACTACTTAGAGTTTCTTTCTAAATAGTGATAAATTAGGACATTTTCGAATTCAAAAACAAACAAATTTAATTTGTGACACCAATATGTCAAATATTGATAAGGGGTTTTGTGACAAATAATAGAATAGCAAAAAATAAAAGGAAGATAAAATATGAGAGAGAGAGAGTTCTTGGGTGTGATTGCTATATGTTAAGATAAAAGTGGTGGGCGTATGCTTTAGGTAGCTAGTTTCGCAAGGCAATGGTGATTAACCTATGGTTTAGGTGAAAGGAAGTTCCTTCTGAGGCAATTTACCCCGTATCACATGGGTTCTTCTCAGAGACCCACTCGTCTAAACTATCCATCCTACGCCTTATCCTCACTCACTCTTTCGATGGGAGTTCTTGAATATGGGATTAGGGCTCACCATCTCTCACTTAACCACATGTGAACCCACTACCTTGGAGATCAGTCTAGTGGTCTTAGTTTCACGACCTATCTGTCGAGTAAGCCGAAAACACATAGGAAGTTTTGTATTTACAGTTACAAACCTATTAGGTTAAACCACAACCACTAGGTGAAATCACCATTAAAATGCAATCTGAGGTACAATCTAGTAGGACCCAACAAATTAATCAACCCACAATCTCGTAAGACGTGTACACAAATATTTTATTTGTTTGGTAATAAATTTTTAAATATTAGTTATCTTATGGAAGAATGATGAATAAATCCTCAAGCTAAAAATATAAGTCGCATAACAACAACAGCGACAACTTTTAACTATAGTCTCAATCAAAAATAAAATAAAATAGGCTATGTGAATCATTATTTATGTATTTGAACTAAACTAATTGGCCTATAGTGACATAAATAATAATAAATGTAAAATAGTAATTTAAATACATATAGATAATAGTATTAGTAATAGTAGTACTAGAAGTTCTCTAACATGTTTGACGTCTCATTTCATTTTTATGCTTATATCTAAGAAATCAAAGTTTGAATGGATAATAAAATTATAAATTGTGCATGGATCTTTGAATAAACATCTTTGTATTATGATTATGTAATAAGATTTGAGTGCTAAAATATAAGCCTGCTTATAATTGTTCATCTCTCAAGTTAACAATTTCCTTAGAAATAGAATCTTTTTAAATTAGTTTTCAAAAAAAAAAATTAATTTATATAAATTAAAATTCTAATTTAGCATGAAACTTTCGTAGCACATAAATCATTGATCTTGTTACAAAATGTCTAATTTAGGATGAAAGTTTCATATCATATATTGATATTGTCATATAAAATATGTGTACGTGTACGTGTGTGTGCGCGCCTACGTGTGTGTAAATTCCTAGCAAACAAGAATTTTTGATTTTTTTAAAAAGTCTTATCATCCATTACTCCACAAGATTTACCATTTTGCATAATATCTAACTATTTTTTTTCATACTTTCAACTAGAATATCGATAAGCAGTACCTAGTTGATGGTGATAAATATGTAACATTAATGGACATTTCGATATCTTTTATTGCACTAAAAAAAGCAAGCATTAAATTTTCGCAGGTTCACTTTGAAAATTTTTCTCTAATGATAAGTTTTTTTTCCCCTTTTAATACATATTCAACAATCTTTTAATGAATGACTAAACAAAAATTTAATGTTAATTTCTTTTTGGAAAGAAGATAATGATCTTCTATAAAGTGAAAAGATATGATATGTATGACAACAATATTTATATATGTCATGTCCATAATAATAATATAAACAACAAGAAACCTAGTGTAATTTGACGAAATGAGGTATGAGAAGAATAAAGTGTACACAAACCTTATCAACAACTTTGAGGTAAATTAGTTATTTTTTATAAAACCTTCGATCCAAAAAGAAATACTCCAAAGAGGTGTGTTTGTGTGTATATATCTATATATAATTTGTGTTTTCATGCGTGCGCGTGTGTCTATGTAAATTCCTAGCAAGGGATCAATTTTTATTTATTTTTTTGAACGTCCTCTCAATTACTCCACACATTTATTCATTTTTAAAAATATCTAATTATTTTTTCATACTTTTGAATAATATATGGATAAGCAGTACCAAGTTGATGGTGATGAAGATACAACATTAATGGACGTTCCGATATCTTTTATTGCACTAGAAAAAGCTAACACTGATATTTTTCAGGTTCGCTTTGCAAAAGTTCCTCCAATTATAAGTTGTTTGTTTTTTTCCCTTTAATACATATATGTAAATATTTTGACTAATACATAATCAAATTCTAATGTTATTTCTTTTTTATAACAAGAAAATTGTTCTTATCAAAAGTTTAAAGATGTGATATGTATCTCAACAATATTTAAATACTTCATGTGAATAATATTACTACTACTAATAACAATATTAATAATAGACAACAAACCTAGTTTTCACCCTATAGTCAATTTCAAAGATGTTTTCAAGCATTTGTTTTTTTAACTAAAACATAGATTTCACGAGAACTCATTGGTTCTTGCATCACACGTTTTCAAATGATAAGCTATGATGATATTGATGTTTACTTGATGGTTTATGATGGAAAAATCTATGAACCTATATTTCTCTATATTCCTAAATTTGACCTTATGAAGTGGGTTTGTTTAATATAAAAAATAATGATAGATTAATGTGTAGAATACTTTAGATTTTTTATTTGTATCATTATCTATGTCTAATCATGGTGAAGTGTTGGTGAATAGAGGAATTGTGATTATAGCCTCGAAAGGGGAAAGTTTGACCTAATTTCATGTGAATGTAAAATTGATATAGAATTGTGATAGATTGATGTGTGATCCACTTATGGTGGAGGTGTTTACTTTCTTTGTCCATTGTGATTATGTCCATGACGGCATATGGTGTGGGAGTAAAGAATTATCATGAGATTATATTGAGGAACATGATGTAAGGCATGCGTGTGAAATAAAGGACAAAATGATCAACTAATATAGAATGTGAATGCACTGTGATTGAAAGTATATTCTTACTAAATACTATTGAATTGGTAGGATTATGCATCTTATTCTTGTATAAATGAATGTAAAAAGTTATATGTGTCTTGAATTAGTAGGCTAATTCATCCTCTTCTAGACTGGAATGTATTTTGATTTATATGTCTAAATGAATGAATTAAGGAATGTCTAGTAACGAATAGATCTACATATGGTGCCCTTTCAGCTAATGATTAAATGATTTCTAGACTATGTATCGGACAGGCAGACCTAAGCTTGGTGCCCCTTTATGATGAGTCTAGAACCCTATGTGATTGATGAACTTTGTATCGGTAGGCCCAATATGTAAGGCAACCTTCTTGGAAAGTCAATGAGCTATCCTTAATGAACCTCGATCGGTAGACCTATTAGTTGTAACCCTTCTTGGTAGAAGTACTATGAGTTGGTAGACCAAATGTTGGTGCTTTATTTTTTTCACAAATGTGAGTGAAACTCATCTATGGGAAATAAGGGTAAGCACCGAGTGGATAGGGTTAAGATGACGTCTCTATCAGAGTGAGAGGCTATAGAAAAATGTACATCTTTGGATATCCTCTAAACAAACATGTGATGTGTACTAGTTCTACGCTTTCAAAGTAGAAAAACTCTTTAGGGTGTGTGGGGAGAGAACACCGGACTCCATGTCTAGCGTGCATGGACCCTGTCGGTTAATTCCTATTCCCATCATTTGTGATGTGCACTCTAGTTACTTGATATGTACTACAATATGCAAGTAGTAATATGAGATGTTATCTACACATGGCACGAGTATGCTTTAAAGGTGCTAGAGTGAGTTCCCTTAGTCTTCATGACTAATGTGAAGGTTCTCTAAATGAAGTTAATAATGAATGGTCGATTTATTGTCTCTACAATGTGATGTATGTTTCTCATTTATTGATGAAACAAGTTACTTAGCATGTTATGTTGAAAAATAAAGGTTATTGTCTAAATGTAGCCATGAGGAAAACTTATGTGTGAACTGAAGAAGTAGAATGGACTGCCACTTTATGACTTACGTAAGGGTGACTTAGGGTAACTTTAGATAGAAGTCCTAATATGATGAAATTATCTACTAATGTATGTGCCCTTGTATTTCATGTTTGTACTAGTTGAAGTATGACTGCATAAGATTAAAAGGGTAAAGGTAATGACTTGAATGAGATATTGTTAGTTGCGTGTTGGTTGTGACTTATGCTATGCCTTTATTGTTCAAGTGTTCATGAAGCTTTACAAAATGACATAAAAGCATGACTTTAGGCAAAATCTCCCTCGTTAGCATATTTTTGCATGGCCATCATACTTAGGGCTTAATTGTGATAATACCATCTTCTTTATGTTTTTAGTACAATGTGTAAGTTGAAAGTGTTAGGTGTATTGTCTATTTAAAGACTTTGACCTCCATTCTCCAATACATGGTACATCCTCATGGATTCGAGGAAAAATAAATTCTTCTGTTTGCTTTTTATGTAATAGATTCTTAGTAGTTTATTTCGATTGTAAAGGTTTGTGTACTCATAAAATTGATTTGATGTCTAAGATTGCTATGTTGAGACTTAATATTTCTTTGTTTTATAAAAGAGTTTTCTATTTTTCACTTTACTGAGGAATTTTTTTATTTCGTACTATTTTTATTGCCTCGGTGATGAATGAATGCTAAGAGGCTTGTACGAAATACCTTCATGGGCAAGTACGCCATGTTACGACTCGCGGGTACTCTCGGGTCGTTACAAGGTGAGGCACTGTTCTCTTGGCTAGTGGTAGTCTTGGCCTTTGGACTTGGTTTGATCCCCTTCGTTTGGAACTTTCCTCTTGGATTAGCCTAAGTTTAATCCCATATAATTCGTAAATGACTTATTAACATTCGGGGAGTCATTTTTATGATTTTTAGTCATACACTTAGGCTCTAGTTTAAACTATCATTTTTCCTGGATGTTATAGATACTTCCAATCATGGCATCTTTTGATTCATAAGAATGTCTATCTATGGAGTGACTTTTCCACAAAACCTTTACATAAGCGACTTGCTTAATTTTAAACCTACCAATAGATGTCCAATAATTTCAACTAGAACCTCTTCATAGGTGAGGCTATCCTTCACAACAACACTCTCTAAAGGTATTATCAAATCCATATCACCCACACTGTCCAAAGGTATTATCGAAGCCGGATCACCCACAAAGTTCTTCAATAAGGGAATGTGAAAGAGTGGGTAAACAACTGCTAATCTTGTTGCTAGCTATAACTCATAAGCAACATTACCAACCATTTTCATGATTCTGTAAGGACCAACATACTTGGGATTGGGCTTCCCTTTCTTACAAAATATCATCACCTCTCTTCATGGGTAACAAATTTAGAAAACCAGTCAGTGATTTCCAACTCTAAGTCCATTCTCTTATATGTGCATAGTAATTCTGATGACTTTGAGTTGCTTTTAGTATATATTTTCTAAAATGAACCTCCTCCATCGACTCATGATCCAAATCTCACCTTAATAAAGTTACATCTCCCATTTTGAATGACCAAACAAAGGACTAGTATCTACGCCCATACAATGCCTCAGAATTGCCCATCTGAAACTGGAATAAAAGGTATTATTAAAGTTGAATTCTATAAGAGGTAGGTGATTATCCCAAATTCTCCTTAAATCTAAAACTAATACTCTCGACATGTCCTCTATGGTCTGTATATCTATGGTTAAAATATTGTACTTAGATTTACTTCAATAACAAGCCCTTTTCGAAATGATTTCCAGAAATCAGAGGTAAATGGAGGACCCCCTATATGTGATGATAAAGAAAAGGGAACCCCATGCAACCTTAGTATCTCACTGATTTGAACTTTGGTAAAATCCTCAGCTGAATTTATAGTCTTGACAGCCAAGAAGTGAGTTAACTTATTGACTTTGTCCACTATCAGACAAATAGAGTCATATTTTTGCGAGTAAGATGTGAACCCATAACAAAATCCATGTTTATCACTTCTCACTTTGATGTAGGAATGTTAATATCTTGAGTCACACCTACTCATTTTTGATGTTATACTTAAACTTTTTGACAGTTTGGACACTTAACCACCAAATCTATGATGTTTCTCTTTATGTTGTTGCATAAAAAGACTTCTCAGTGATTACGATACATCTTCGTTTGACTTTGATAAATATAATATGTGGAATTATGTGCTTTTGTAAGGATTTGCTTACACAAATCATCCATATTAGGAACAAATAAGTGACTTTAGTAACAAAGCACAAGGTCACCCCTTTCGGAGAAAACCTTAACTCTTTGCTGATTAACTGAACCTTTCAACTGATATAATTTAGGATCAATATCCATTTTTAACTTAACCTCTACTACCAAGGAAGATTCTGACAAATTCTGAACTATCCCACGAGTGAAAATCCTTGGCTACTTCTTTCTTCTCTTCTGGAATATGTGCTAGACTACCCATTGGTACTCTGCTGAGGGTGTCAACCAATATATTTGACTTACTCGAATGATAGAACCTATGCATGTCATAGTGTTTAGGAAATTCAATCCATCTCCTCTGATGTATATACAATGTTTCTGGTTTACCACATACTAGAAGCTCTTATTATATGTGAACAGATCAACATTAACACCAAACAAGTAGTGTCTCCAAATTATTAGGGATAACACTACAATTTCAAAGTCAAGGTCATGAGTCGGGTAGTTCTTCTCGTAGACCTATCAGATGATTTACATGCCCTTCCTTACTCCAAGAATACATGAGGATATCATCGATAAAGACGGTGATTTAAAGTCCAAATAGTGTTTGAAAACCCTATTCATTAAGTCCATGAAAACTACAATATCATTTATTAGTATTAAAGACATAAATACAAAATTCATATTGTCTATATCGAGTACTGAAGGTTATCTTTGAGAATTTATTATCTCTGAATCTGTGATTATAGTTGAATCTGAGGTCTATTTTATAAAATAATCTATTACCCTAGGATGAGATACTTATTCTTCATTTTGACTATGTTCATATGACTATAATCAATGCATATTATGAGAGAATCATCTTTCCTTTTTATGAAAAATATTAGAGCACCATATATATATTGATACCGGGTGAGATGAAGACCTTTTATAAAAGTTCTTGATACTATTTTTTCAATTTCTTTAACTTAGA